TAATGTTTTTTCTACTGTACAGACCGTATATTCTATTGCTCTACACCAACCCTACCCCTAAACCTACCCCTCACAGGAAACTTTGTGCTATTTCAGATTTTCAATACACTCCATTCTGTGTGATTTATAAGCGTTTTGAAAAGTGGGGACATGGGGTAATGTCCTGAAAAGTCACCTTCTCCTTGTAATACCTATGTCATACCCTTGTCATTATACAAATTTATGTCCTCATTTGTCAAAAACGCGCGCGCGCGCGCGCACACACACACACACACACACACACTATTAGCACTGAAAAGTGATTCGTGACTTTTCATAATTAAACATTAAGGAGGGAAATGGTTTCAAAGAGCTGAAATACAGTGACAAATGGCCCAATCCAAAATGCATTCTAGTCATTTTACCGTGATCCAGGAGGTTGATCCACTATCTGATGCGATACTGTAGCTGACGGCTGCATGGTTACAATTTTATCTCTAATAGTATCGATCTTAGAAGTAAAGTAGTTCATAAAGTCATTACTGCTGTGCTGCTGGGAAATGTCAACACCTGTTGATGCTTTATTTTTCGTTAATTTAGCCACTGTATTGAATAAATACCTGGGGTTGTGTTTGTTTTCTTCTAAAAAAGACGAAAAGTAATCAGATCTAGCAGTCTTATGCTTTTCTGTAGGATAGGGTACTTTCCCGCCAAGCAATACGAAATACCTCTAGTTTTGTTTTCCTCCAACTGCGCTCCATTTTCCGGGCTGCTCTCTTTAGGGTGCGAGTGAACTGTAAAGATGGCTGCGCATGTGTTTCTCTGGTGCATGAGGTCTATACACTCCGAATTTAATTCACAATGTTTCTCAAATTCTAGTTCAGAGGGCAGTTGCATAAACATAGCCCCTCTGTTAAGATCGACTGACCAGCTAGCAGTTTGCCAAGGGATAACCAGTCTTACTTTTCGGATTCAAATTCGACCAATCCACTGTTTTGTAACTGACTTTAAATTATGACCAGTCTTGAAGAAAAAAGAAATTAGATGACTAACTTTTAATGACTAGTCCTGAAGTCCTGAACTTGAACTGAGGAACTAGAACTGAAATTCAAACCAAGTAGAATAATTTATATCTTATAAGTAACATTAATAAGCGATTTTCTTTTGTAAAAAGAAGCATGTCAAAAATGATAGCCTTGTTTGAACATTTAACGAAAGTTTGTTTTCCTTTCTTGGGCTTCGAGACAGACAGAGGGTTTATATTGACATGCTGACGAACACTTCATTTCCCAGAATGCCACGAGCTGCTGGATTTCTCAGAAGTTCAGGTCTGGCCGACTGAGGAACTGTACATCTCTGAATGGGGAAATCACAAAATCTCAAGAAGTCTGACTCACATTTCAGTAAACCAGCAATAAAATACAACAACAACTGTGTTTTTTCATTCAGCTGGCTCCAGCCAATGCAGCATCATTTATACATGTAATTATTTAATAAGCATCCGTGTCTCTTTTATCATTTCATACATTTTGCCAAAGCCACTGGAGGCTATAAGTCATAGATGATCGGTGAACACTGCTCTCTTCTGAGGCTCTGAATGACTCTCAGCGCTTCAGCAATAGATCAAGAGAAGCTCAAATAGACTGAAAAGTGACTAGAGAGGGAAAAAATGACTTCAAATACCAGAAACACAGTGGAAATTAAGCTAAAGGTTTTACTAAGTTCCGTTCAGATTTGAGGATGTTTCTCCCAATGCTCCCAAAATGCATTCTGGTAATTTTACCGTGATTAAGGGGGCTGTAGGGCTCTTATTTACCCCGGCTGAGTGGTTGAGATCTTTATATTGTGCTGCAGCTGATGCGGTTCTTCATGCTCTCCACAGCAGTTTGACCAGCGTCTGCTGCCACCTGCTGCTCACTGCATCCGTCTGCTCTCAAGCATCTCACTCTTCCATCAGCAGTCGTCCGTGTTTTTGGAGCAGGAATGATTGTGGTTGTTCTCAAAGCCTACTTCTACAAGAAAATAAGAATAAAATCAAGTGCTAGAGCCGTGACAGCATCACAGCAAAATATGGCAGCGCCTGATTATATGATTATACTGGCATAAGAGGATTGTTCGGGGTGTGTGATCTCACACATTCACTCACTGTCACACACTCACTCTCACACACACACACACACACACACTGTTGTTGGTTTAGATGATTTAACAAGTTTATACAATTCTTCCTCTCCTATAGTAGAGAATGAGTGGAATTGTTCCTCAGGCGATCTATAGCAAGCTATCTGATGCGATACTATAGCTGACGGCTGCATGGTTACAATTTTATCTCTAATAGTATCGATCTTAGAAGTAAAGTAGTTCATAAAGTCATTACTGCTGTGCTGTTGGGAAATGTCAACACCTGTTGATGCTTTATTTTTCATTAATTTAGCCACTGTATTGAATAAATACCTGGGGTTGTGTTTGTTTTCTTCTAAAAAAGACGAAAAGTAATCAGATCTAGCAGTCTTATGCTTTTCTGTAGGATAGGGTACTTTCCCGCCAAGCAATACGAAATACCTCTAGTTTTGTTTTCCTCCAACTGCGCTCCATTTTCCGGGCTGCTCTCTTTAGGGTGCGAGTGAACTGTAAAGATGGCTGCGCATGTGTTTCTCTGGTGCATGAGGTCTATACACTCCGAATTTAATTCACAATGTTTCTCAAATTCTAGTTCAGAGGGCAGTTGCATAAACATAGCCCCTCTGTTAAGATCGACTGACCAGCTAGCAGTTTGCCAAGGGATAACCAGTCTTACTTTTCGGATTCAAATTCGACCAATCCACTGTTTTGTAACTGACTTTAAATTATGACCAGTCTTGAAGAAAAAAGAAATTAGATGACTAACTTTTAATGACTAGTCCTGAAGTCCTGAACTTGAACTGAGGAACTAGAACTGAAATTCAAACCAAGTAGAATAATTTATATCTTATAAGTAACATTAATAAGCGATTTTCTTTTGTAAAAAGAAGCATGTCAAAAATGATAGCCTTGTTTGAACATTTAACGAAAGTTTGTTTTCCTTTCTTGGGCTTCGAGACAGACAGAGGGTTTATATTGACATGCTGACGAACACTTCATTTCCCAGAATGCCACGAGCTGCTGGATTTCTCAGAAGTTCAGTTAAAGTTCAGGTCTGGCCGACTGAGGAACTGTACATCTCTGAATGGGGAAATCACAAAATCTCAAGAAGTCTGACTCACATTTCAGTAAACCAGCAATAAAATACAACAACAACTGTGTTTTTTCATTCAGCTGGCTCCAGCCAATGCAGCATCATTTATACATGTAATTATTTAATAAGCATCCGTGTCTCTTTTATCATTTCATACATTTTGCCAAAGCCACTGGAGGCTATAAGTCATAGATGATCGGTGAACACTGCTCTCTTCTGAGGCTCTGAATGACTCTCAGCGCTTCAGCAATAGATCAAGAGAAGCTCAAATAGACTGAAAAGTGACTAGAGAGGGAAAAAATGACTTCAAATACCAGAAACACAGTGGAAATTAAGCTAAAGGTTTTACTAAGTTCCGTTCAGATTTGAGGATGTTTCTCCCAATGCTCCCAAAATGCATTCTGGTAATTTTACCGTGATTAAGGGGGCTGTAGGGCTCTTATTTACCCCGGCTGAGTGGTTGAGATCTTTATATTGTGCTGCAGCTGATGCGGTTCTTCATGCTCTCCACAGCAGTTTGACCAGCGTCTGCTGCCACCTGCTGCTCACTGCATCCGTCTGCTCTCAAGCATCTCACTCTTCCATCAGCAGTCGTCCGTGTTTTTGGAGCAGGAATGATTGTGGTTGTTCTCAAAGCCTACTTCTACAAGAAAATAAGAATAAAATCAAGTGCTAGAGCCGTGACAGCATCACAGCAAAATATGGCAGCGCCTGATTATATGATTATACTGGCATAAGAGGATTGTTCGGGGTGTGTGATCTCACACATTCACTCACTGTCACACACTCACTCTCACACACACACACACACACACAC